TTGCTTGTCTCATCTCAGGTGCATATGGATTCTTCAAGCTCACAAGGGCTAAAAGGATTAACCCATGTTCAAGGGGTTTTAGGATTTCTTCGATATCATCAGCATCATCTTCTTCAATCTTGCCTCTCTCTTTTTCCTGGTCTATTTTTCTATAAGCAAAAGCCAGGACCTGGAGACATTTGGATGCAATTTGCCGAAATTCTCTATTCAACAAATCTTTTTTATCTTCATCTAGGGTTTGCATTGTTCCATCCCCCTTACAATAATGAGAGCACATGGATAGCATTTTTTCAAATTCTCCATTCCAATGAATGTGCAAAACTCTGCCTGCCTCTTCATGTTTCTTTAGCACCAAACCGCTAGAATTCTTGTTGAGATCAGGAGATTTATTAATATCAAGGACGGCACAAGAATTATTGAATTCAGAAATATCAATATCAAGCTCCTGGTGAGCCCAATAGCAAAGGGCGTTTTCTTGGCCATTGCAAGAAGCATATGCACAAACTCCATCTTGCAGAATTTGAAGGACTTCTCCAGATACTTCTGTAGAGACATCCTTAATAGAATCGAAACCAATCCACAAATCGGCCATCCTTGAATGGTGCAAGGCGAGATCATTGGTTATGCCAGTGCAGACTGTGGTGACTAAGCCGATTGTAGCACAAGATGGAAGTCTTTGAACTATTGCCCCGTGGGACTTCATTTTATTCGATGCATAAACAAAAGAGACGAAAATGCCTAATGGCAACCCGTCTCTCAAAGCGAAGAGTAAGATGCTAAGAACAGCAACCAATCCACTCGCTTTGGCGCCTTGCTTCTTCATCAGCTTTGCGGATTCATTCATCAAATCCTCTACCGTGTTCTTCACACCCTTTGAATCTGGGTTGTAACTGTCATCACATACATACAGGAAACATCGGAATAGCTGGACTACAAGAATGAATAACGAAAGACTCAGCCAAATTTTCTCCAGACAGGAGTTGGTATTATCAATTGAGATTTGCAGTTTGGATTCTTGGCTATCATTTTTCGGAGTACTGCTCTGTGATCTCATTAGCCGACTTCTTTCCGTGTTCTTGCCGACTGATAGCACAAGCATTTGGCAGTTGCCTTCCTTCACTTTAGCACCAGTAAAAAGAGAAGGATTTTTGTAATAATTGGAATCGCCACGGAAAAAATTATCATCGAGCTTAAATAAAGAGTTGCCTTCAACGAATAATCCATCAGCAGGGACCTGATTACCAGTCTGTAAGCACACAATATCACCGACCACAACTTCGGAATCCGAAATTTTTGGCACTTTCCCATGTCGAACAACACGAACATGTTTTTTAATCTTTGACAATCTCCTTCGGCTTATTCTGTACTTGATAAATCTACAGATAAGACCAAAGTAGAGGACAAAAAAGACGGCTGAAACCATTATTACTCCATCCCTAAGCCCTTCAACTGGCCCGTTTCTCTTGATTCCAATTACAGCAGATAGTACAGCACAACACAAAAGAAGGATAATTGTAGTATCTTTAAAACCTTGCAAAGCCAACCGAAAGAAGCCATCTACCACCACGGGACACGTCTGCTCCTCCAAGTATAAGTTGGGGCCAAATGCTTTGTGGCGTCGGTAAAGATCTTCTGTATCCCCTCTTATTCCTGTTTCTGCATTTGTTTCCAATGCAGCCATTAATCCTGGCATGCCACCAAATGGCTGAAGAGATTCGCTGTCATTCACTTGCACTAATTTTGCTAGACATTCCTGGTTAACTCCGAACGTGGGAACTTCCGCTGGATTTCCACTGTTGAGCATTGAATCCGCCATGGGGCAAGAAATATTTGCTCATGCACCCCTTTTTTTTTTTTTTTGGGTAAAGTTTACAAAAATATTTAGGGTTTATAATTTTAGCTAAAGAAAAGTTTCAGTTACACTCAAGAAGTCGTGGGGTGTATGTTCATATTCTTCTGTTAGAATGCCTAATATTAATGGCAAATGAAGTTGGAGAAAATGAAATAAATAAGCTAGGAAGTTCATTGGAATTTTTCTAGGAATTTTCCCCTTATTGAGTGTAATGATTAAATCTCTTTGATTCATTTTATGCAGTTCATCCAGTTGAATAATGCCAAAATTTAAGTTTTTAAATGAAAGAATTAATATAATATTAGAGAATCCAAAGATTTGTGTCAAGGCCTTTGATTAAAAAAAAAAAAATTACATGTGTTAGAGTCGTATTGAAAATGAATTTAAATGTGTTCTTGAGCTTTTTTAAGTGATACTTGAGAATTGAGATCGATGTAATAGTTAACAGTTAACACAAATTGTTGTCAGGCCCCTTTGTCAGGCCCCTGTTAGTCTCGAACCTATGACCCATTGAACATATATAAGTTGTGCTTACGAAATTAAGAGAAATGCATGTTTTTGAAATGATAACTCTGTTAGTGGGGACACTACAGTGGATTTTGACATGTGGCATCATTCTAGCCATTTGATCTGTTTCTTGAATCTTCCGGCCTTATAATCTTGGAATGACTCTTTGACTGGACTATTGAATGAGATATTTTTTGGGTTATGCAAATTGTCTCTTCTCTCTCTTTCTTCTTGCGAGAATGCCTTATTCTTGGTAGATTAGGGTTCTTAGATTTGTGACTTTACAATGTTTAAATATTTGTAATCTCTTTGTGAGGCTATAAATCGAGAGAGGCATATTATTCTGGGTTGTTCTTATGGATTTTGAGTGATTGACTGTGAGCAGTTCGTCTATGGTATATCTATGTGATCTAGGCTAATTCCTTCGTGGTTTTGCAGTTTCCTTTGTGGTTCTTGAAAAAGATAAGTCTTGATGACTTAGTCTCTTGTAATATTTGTAACATTTGTGTACTCTTGCTGCCAGTTTTTGGCTACTGAAACCTAGCTTAATCCATTTATAATGGATGTTCAACAGAGGATTAGGCGTTAAAAGCTGTCGTTGGACCTCTGAGGCCACGGTCAAAAAATTCATGTGTTGTTTTTTGCACTTTTACCTACTATTTTGATGATTGGTTTATGAATCTTAGTTAATACTTGTGTGATTTCGACATTTCAGCCCCTATTATGTATAGAATCTTTAAAATCTTTTTCAAAAAATATTTCCTCTGCAAAATAATTTTCAATGTGAATTCATAACTTTTTATACTTTCTGACTACAATTTTCCGAAGAGAATACTCAAAATCTATTATCAAAATTCTAAATCAAACGATCCCTCAAATATTAAAACATTAAATGTTAAAGAAACTTGAACGAGGATTATATTATACAAGAGTTTCAATCAATTAAAACTAAGACAATGATATCTCTCATTAGCTAAATTTGGTTGTTTTTTCATGTTGAAAATCTTATGAAAATTTCTGAAATTTCTTGGAGAAATTACTCAGATATTTCATTAATATTTAGCCCCAAAAGTCTTCTTTAAACTTAACGCGGCTGCATATCATGGTCAAAAGAGAAGAAAACGACCAACTAATACCAACTACGGTCCAAGATACTTTTTCCATCTGGGAATTGAAACAATATTATCATCGGTGGAAGATCAGGTATTATTATATATTGTATGTATTTGACAGTAATACATGAATATTAAGAAGAACAATTAATATTTTAACATATGTTCTAAAGAGAAAATAATTCGGTAAAGAAATGTTGCACTAAGACTTGTATGGTTTTAAAGCTAAAATTTGTTGCACTATCCATCTAATGCTCATCTTCTGTATAGTTTAGTTAAAAAAGTTAATAAAAATTTAAGTTAAAATCAACATTTTATTTTAATTATACATTTAATGAAATTAATAATTTTTATCAATTTTTTATCTACATATTTAATCAATTTTTTTATCAAAATCTGCTAGAATTTTAGTTTTTAGTAAAACCAGGTTTAAGCTTAATGTATTTTGCACTCTGAAATAATTAGTCATAACTGTTGGAATGTGTGAATTCGTGTCAAATTTGGCCAAATATTCGGATTTGATCCGATGATCAAATTACAAAAGTAAATAGACCCACTTTTCTACTCTTCAAATAGGTCATCCTGGTATATTTGAAATCTTAAAACCAATTCCGAATAAATGAGAAATTGCGATCCAAAGTTAAAAGAAACGAAGTGTTGCAACTTTTCAAAAGAATACAGGTTTTGAAACGAAGTGTTTTAACTTTTCGAAAAAATGTAGGTTTTGACCCACATTACTTCATTTGTACCCTTTCTACATTTATAAATAGGATCATATGAACATGATTTTTTAAACACACCATTGCATTGAGCATTCCTTTTTTTCTTGCAATTCATCGTTCTCTCATTCTCATAATATTCTTTTGTAGAGGGAAAATTCCGGCGAAATTTTGTCGTTCTTGTGGTTTGAAGTGCTGCTACCACAAGTATGTATCCGTTGTATACTTGCCTCGAATTTCTTTTTCTACTCCTTATTTCATTTTGATTTTGTGTGGTCGTTTTAGTCATATACTTTGCGTCCTTACATTGTGTTCTAATTACGCTCCTACGGGTTGGAACTTTTGCTTACAATAATTGTGTTTCGACTACATTCCTCGGGGTTGAAATTTTGTTCATTTACAACATATTCAACTGTTATACCGCTAAAATAAATACCCGGAACAACAATAACATAAGTAAATAGAAAGATATGTTCTACAAAACCATAGATGCGTAGGTAGTTATACTAAAACTTCCTATATTTTTATATGTGGCACTACAATTATAGTACTATTTTTTCTACTAGTTTATTTTATTAATTTCTAACCCACAAATTATATAAAAAATAAAAATAAAAATAAAAAAATAAGATGTTGCATTAATACAATTGAGAAGCGGTGGAATAAAATAAAAATTGTTGATAACAGCAAAATGTCAGGAATTATAATTAAATGCCATCTTTGATCTTTCCCAACCGAATAGGTTGTAACTATCAAATTGCACACATACTTTTTTATTTCTCGCGTGTTCTGCTATTGGGAATTAACTTGGTGCATCGCTTTCTTGGCCATTTATTGACCGGCTGGATTTGTTGCTTTCTGACACAGAAAGATTGCCTATGCCTCTAGGAGAAGGTGGAAGCGGAGCTAGCTATTTGAAGAAACCAACTATTCCTAATCTGAAAGCATTAAAACTCTCAGTTCGAGTCCAGGTGGCTTTAGTCCATCCAAATTGGTAGAAAAGGAAAGACCGTGATGTTGGAAATTGGTTTCAAAATTAAGGGAAAATTGGTCAAGTGTTAAAACTAAAGTTAAAAAGTGGCTTTCGTGTCAACTTCGACCAAATATTCGGACTTGATTCGATGGTCAAGTTACAAATGTAAATAAACCAACTTATTTTACTCGTCAAGTAGATAATCATGGTATTTTTGAAATCTCAAAATCAATTCAAGATGAATGAAAAATTGAGGTCCAAATTTGGAAAGAAAAATAGAGGAAATTGACTTACTTGACTATTGCTCGCGTGATGTAACTTTCGCTTGAGGGACGGGGCTGTCGCTCGAGTGATGGTCTAGCAAAAGGCAGGCAAAAAATTCTCCGTAAATTCTGACACTCTCGAGTGAGAGTTTCGCAATAGGCTAGCGACAAGAAGTGTTGCTTCTGTTCGAAAGATTACGATGTTTAACCTACACCACTTCGCTCACAACCCTTCATCCTCCATAAATAGGACTATTTGAGTGTCCTTTTTGCATATCATATCATACTTGCATTAAGCATTTCATAAATCTCTTGCAAAACTCCCAAAATTCATTCAAATCTGATTTTTTTCATCCTCCATAAATAGGACTATTTGGGTGTCCTTTTTGCATATCATTTCATACTTGCATTAAACATTTCATAAATCTCTTGCAAAACTCCCAAAATTCATTCAAATCTGGTTTTTTTCTTGTATAGAGAAATTTCTTCAAACATTCGTTGTAACTTATGGTTTGAAGTGCTTCTATCACAAGTTGAATCCGTTGTATCTTTGGAGATAAGTGCCGTGATCCGTGAGCACCATTGCAGGCAATTTGTCATAAAGAAAAAATGAAAATTCACTTGCCTCAAATTATTCTTTTCTTCTTGATTTTATTTCTGATTTTGTTTAAGTTTACATACTACATTCCCAACCAAATTATTGTGTTTAGTTATGCTCCTGTGGATTAAACATTGTCCTTGTTGGTTCAATATTCAAACAACCTTTCACAGCATATATAAAGCCATACATAAATACCACGGAACAACATGTGCGTCTTTCTCCCTACCAATGTTTAACCCTTTCTTTGCTGTTCTATTTTCATCGAGATTGGATGGGTGTTCAAAGTAGCAAAACTTGGGTACAATATCAAAAAGAGTGTTAACCTTTTCATGAGCAATTTGAATTTTTCTGCTTATTTCCTACAGTAGGTTTTATAAACACCTCAGATAGTTCAAAGGGCAAAGCAGAGGGTTACCTTCTAGACATAACAATTTCAAAGACCACATGTTGGAGATTGATTCAATTCTACATATTCTTTGTGCCAAAGCTCAATTAGTATTTTTTTTTTTTTCATTTACCGAAAGGGAGGCCAAACTCACACGATTAATTACAAGATACAGTCGATCAACAATAAAATAGAAAATAAACTTGCATACAAGTAAAATGAACACAATAGAATTTTCGGCCGAATTCCCAGAAGCTCAGCATTCTTTCAACACCTAATCCCCTGTTGAAAATCTAATCAAGAATGGATATTGCTCGATTGCATTAAATGCCTCAAAAAGAATACACAAAGGAAGAGACTTATCTCTTTAAGAAGTCAATAGATCTACCGGAGATCACTCAAGA